GATAAAAGCATGACGTGATGTTTTAATCGGTTGTTCGTGTTACCGCGTAGCCGATGTTTTTACTATTTATGATTGTCATTTTTGTGTAAGATTATGTAAAGAAGGTGTCGTGCTATATCGCGCGTTGATGTTGTTTTGTTTGTTTTCTGTGTTGGTTCTGCGCAATCGGTTTCCTCGTGGGAACCCGAGTTTTGCGCAGACCGGTAGAATGGTTTGTGCTGTGTTTGACTGTTTGACTCGTTGTTTTACCTACGCGCCAAAGATGTATGGACAACAGAGAGGTCGAACGTGTGCTTGTGTGGCCCGTCTTCCACCGGGAAGGGAAATGATTCTTCGTATTAAATATCGGGTGCTGGGAACCGCCTTTATTACCTCCAGCGACGTAGAGCGAACGTGAGACGGAGCCTGGTGTAGAAACGGGGCCGTACATTAATTAGTATATCTAATCCGGGATATTTATCGAGCATTTGACACACTTGTGTGTAGTCAGGTGCGTATTTATTAGTGTCTGTACGTTTTTCGTGATGTGTGTGTCGGTATGAAATGCATATACAGTAAGAAGCAAATGACGGTTTGCTCATTCCATATTATTTATTTGCTATTATGTGTATTGGCAGTGCAATATTACTTTATGGTCTCAGATTTGTTAAATGGTGTATTGTGCTTCCATGCATTTTACAGGTGTTATATATAGTGGGTTTATTACTTAATATCATGAGCGAATCATATAGGGCCTACATATTGCGATGGAACTGGTTCGCTTCTGTTAATGTTTATGTGAAAATTATTTGGTACAAAAGTAAATGGTTGGCATGTTTTCTGGCAGATTTGCTGGCACGATACATCTTGCTGTATATGTGTCTGCGTTGTTGGGTGAACGGTATGTATATATATTCCACTCAATAACAACGCAGTCTGGTTCTAGGTAGGGTCAGTTAGGGGCACGTATGTACGTAATAAGATCTGACCAACTCTAATGGAGCATAATGAAATTTTTTATTGATGGCGTTTAACGATTTTCTGTTAGAGCTACACTGACAAATGAATGGTACAACGTACCATGTAGCGAAGTTGGCACTTCCGTTTCGAATAGAAATATCTGCTGCTGTAACATCTGTTCTCTTGCTAGAATTGCCGTTGTCATGTTACATTTGCGAGTATAGATGGATAACGGTGTCGCTCTGTTCGCCTCACCTTGCATGTCAACTACGGGCTATAAGCAGATATAACTATTTGTACATTATTGAGCAGTTGACGTTTTCGGTGTCCGGATAATCGTCGAAATTTCCGTGAGGAGTTTTAAGCGTGGTAAGCTATTCGATGTAGGGAGGAAGAGACGGAAGCCGTATTCTAGGCAGAGCGTTATGTTGGGAAACAGAAGCTGGCAAATGCTCAGACGCCATCGGCTCTTTACCCCGTGTAACGCGCGCTACAGCTAGAATCCCCGTGCTAGAGTGTGTGTGTGTGTGTGTGTGTGTGTGTGTGTGTGTGTGTGTGTGCGCGCGCGCGCGCGCGCGCGCGTGCGTGCGTGCGTGCGTGCGTGCGCGCGCGTGCGTGCGTCTGTATGTTAAGGGACTCTACCTCGTGCGTACACACGCAACCAACCCCCCCCCCATTTTATAGATGATCAGCGATGCTCTCTCGATCTTTCTCACTCTCTCATCGTGTGCGCACGGGCATTTAGTAGCCCTGCGAGTAAGATGCTGTCGGCTGACTCCCTAGCTGGCTCTCTTGCTGCCTATAGCCGGCTGTACATGCGCAAGAACATCTTAGCTATGTATGGTCGGTCGGTCGGTCTATAAACGTGAACCTGTGCAGTGCTTATCAAAGCAGTGTGCGTTTGTGTGTGTGTGTGTGTGTGTGTGTGTTGTCAGACATTGGTTATTTATTGAGTCTGGCATCTCATGTCGATGTATACATGAATGATGGATTCTGTTACACTGGTTACGTAACGTCTCTCATCATGCCAATGCGAGATATTTAGCTGTTAATCGGACGTCGTCTTCATTTGTGCCTAACCGTGATTAATTATCACTGCGACGATGTTTTACTTCGTTTAGTTAATTCTGTACCTACATTATTACATTTTGTTGTTATATGTTCGTATATACCTTTCTTCATTTCAGTCGTATTCTATGCATGTAGATGCAATTTGCATAATAGTTCGTCTCCGTGGATTATAGTTGCAGCGCTCTTAAAAGCTGTCAACGACACCGATAGTATTTTTATGTAGGCTTATTAAATGTTTGAGAGCTCCCAGTTCCCTGCGCTTTATATCGACCGGTCGTCTTCTCATTCCGCTTTAGCGTGAAAACGTTTTCGCTGAGGGTCGGAACAAAACATAAACAATAGTTGTAAATTGTTGAAAAACGTTATAATCTGTGGAAAGTCTGTGTTATAATCTGTCGTACATCGCCGCGCAGCATCTATATAGAAGCTAATTGCGTGCAGGTGTTCGTGTGTAAGGTTCAGGCACCTTACCTGCGTCGTTATAACACTT